TTGTTCTAGCAGATGGTGACATGGGGTTAATGACCAGAATCCCTGATTCTAACTCATTTTCATCCCATTAGCTCAGCATTTATGATTTGGTCCAGACTTGTGTCAAATTGTAGCAGCAGCAGCAGCAGCAGCAGCAGCAAGACAAGCCTCTAGAATGATTTAGCACAAATGAGGAAATAGCACAGCGGTATTGTGTAGTTTCCTGAAGGCCACACAGCAATTTAAGTCCGTTCCAGGGTTCAGATTAACTTGACAGCTGATTCCCCCAACTCCACTCAGTATGGACTGACTTTGGAGTTTTCACCTGGGGTGAGGGTGGGAGGGGGAGAAGAAACAATTATAGATAAAAGCTCAATGAGATACCCATCAAATGCCTGACTTTGCTCCCTGTCCCTCCCTGGTATACTCTTCATGACAAAGTATTTGCTAAGAGTTCACAGAGGTAACTAGGTGGGAATATTGTCTGAGATCTTTATTTATAAACTAACCCACAGCAGGAGAATGCTTTGGTTTTACAATAATTGCTCTTTAACCCTTCTTAAAGGCAATGATGAACCAGGAGGAAGTTATATTTTGAGACCGCTCAGAGTTTGCAATAATAATGTGCCATCTTTACGTAAGGAGAGAATGCTTGTCTTATTATTATTTTTCTTTCTCTCTTTTTTTCCCCCCTAATTAGGGGGTGGTGGTGGCAGCTGCAAGTATTGAGCACATGTTAAGTAGCAAATTGGCACTGGAGTTGATTAGAGAGCTCAGCTTTCTTAACTCTCCGGCCTGTTGTTCTTGGCTGAGACAGAAGGCTACCCTCTGTGTTCTTGACCTTCCTCCAGAAACTGGTTCAGGGCAGTCCCCAGTTTCCCATGGGTCAGAAGGGGATCTCTTTCTTACAGCCACCTCAGTGTCAAAGAACACATCCATTCCTGTGTTTATTTATTCATTCACAATCAAACCCAGCAAAACTGTGGGCATTTCATTTAACAGGGGGTTAAATAGCCTGATATAAAAATAAATTTATCTGGAATTTTCTCTCATGTTTATTTATGCACTTCAACAAAAAGAGCATAATTATACACAATTAAGGCAGTCCCTAAAAATCTGGGCCAAATAGACCCACTGTACACACAATCCCAGTTTCTCACCACACATAGCCCAGGTGTTAAGCAAATGGGTACTGTAAACGTGATTGAAGAAGGGAATGTTGAACTGACGAAGTAGCATAAAAAGCTTTTCAACATCTTGGAATATCTGGTGTTTATATGTGAACCATACTGCTAATTACAAATGGATCCTATCAATTAAAGGGAGTCCTTAAGAAGAGTGTATAGAAACATTTTATTAGCCATCAAGTTGAATATATGTTAGGCAACAGTATAGCAGTATTTCTTGCAGGATATTCTATAAATCGGGTGTGGCATGTTCAAAGCTGGCCCCATGATGGTCTGTGCTGAGGAAATCTTGTTGAAGTGTTTGAATTGGGGTTGCGGAACAATTTCTTTGGACTCAGCCATGCCTGGATTTAACAATCAGTTTTGCCATTTATGGCTCTGAGACCTTGGGCAAGGTAGCATATTTCTCTACTCAGGTTTTCTCATCTTTAAAATGGGCTGCTCATGCCCTCCTGTCAGGGTTACAGGTAATGTTTATAAAATGCAAAGCATAGAACCAAATACCTAGTAATGAAACCCACCATTAGGACCATTCTCGCCTAGTGGCCCCACCCTCCCTAAAGCACCTAGACTACTGGGGATAGCTTTAGTCAAGAGCTGCATCAGAAGATCTTGAGAAGAGCCCAATACTATGGGGCAGAGGGGAGGCAGAACAATGTGAAGAGTGTGTTTGATCCTGGCCTGCTGGCAGGGATAGAGGCACCTTCAGACATGTAAGGCTCTGGGCAAATGACACCTCCCAGAACTCTGAGTGATTCCCTAGTCACTTGGAAGAGAACATAACATTGAAAAAGAATGCTCAAGAAAAAGCATCAATTTCTAGGCACAGGCTCTATCTTTTCATCTGCACAGCAGCTCTGTGAGGGAGGCATTACAATCCCCACCATTATGGAGGTGGGGAAACAGAAGTTCAGAGTTTAGTGACTTTCCCCAAGGTCCCTGAGAATGAGAGGTGAAGGAGTTGGGGGACACATTCAGGTCTGGGGGACTTGACCCTGTTTTGCTGCCAGATTAGGGCGTAATTCTTAATTGAAGTTAATGGGGAGGTGAGTACGTAGTACGGGAGTTTAAAAGGAGGAAAGGTAACTAGAATAACTCTGAGATCCAACTCTCCACACATAGAAAACCTGGCCGGAATGTGAACTAAGAGAAAATGTGGCTTTGGGAAGAGGAGGTCTCATGGGGAAACAGATCTGAACTGGTGGGGAGGAGGGTGGAACCCAGTAGGGACAAGGGCTGGGGTGGAAGTAGAGTGGCAGGTATGGAGCTGCATGGCTTCTAGCTGGCACCGAGAAGGTTAGGGCCCCATGAGGCATGCCACTTCTTTTGATATGCTGTGGGACAGGGCCTTGTGTGCTTGCCTCTCACCATGCCTCCACCCCCACTGGACCTTGACTTACCAAAGGCAGGGCATGTGTTTTATTCTCTTATTTCAGACCAAAGTACAGTGCCTGGTACACAGTGGTCAACAGACATAGAACAGGTCGGCGAACCAAGAATTAGCAAGATTAAAAGGGAAGTCTTCATATCTTAGGGGAGCCTTGAGCTGTGCAAAATTGGGCAACAGGGAAGTGGCCTGATCGAGAGAAAGTTCAGAGCTGCTTTGGACGTGTAAGAAAATGGTGTGCACGTGTACTTGTGTGTACAGTGTGTATGTAATATGAGATATGGGGGTAGACATGCATACTTCCTAAATTTGCAAAGGAGCATTTGAGATCTGCTCTTTGGACCTATGTTCACACATGCAAACATGTCTGAGCTCAGGCCACAGCTCTGGCCACACTAGCTATGTAATTCAGACATGGGACTTGACTTTTGTGAGCCTCAGTTTTCTCATATGATGGGGGTAATCACAGGAATGCACAGTACGCTTGTCGAGACAGTGGAACGAGTGAGAGGATACGGCACTTTCACATAGGTCCTGACATGTGACAGAACCTTAGTTCATTTTGGCTGGCCCTTAGCTTTAAACTTTGCAGGCAGGATTCTGACACCTCTAGGTCAGCAACTGCACAAGGTTGATCAGCTGGTGCCATTTGTGCCTGCTTGTGAGGTTTCTGCTGTTTGGGTTTCCAGAATCAATAAACCACTGATTTAATGCCTCATGCGGCCTCAGAGTGTGTCCAGACACCGTTTGAGTAGGTCCAGGTGAGCAGAAGGCCAGGTGGGCTAGACAAATATTTCAGAGTAGCCATAAGCCTAGAGGGACATGCTCTAAACTGCCTCCTCCACCATCCTAGGGGTATTATTTAAGCCTGGCATGCCCTGGAGACACCTGCTTTGTCCCTGGAGGCTCCTCCTGTGGCTGTGCCCCAGCTGGGCAGTGTGACTTGGACTGGCCACTCAGATTTCTGTTCCATTCCTCCTGACAGGAATTAGGCATCACTAATTCAGTAGGTTCCAGCCAGTCCAGCCCTGGCAAAGGGCAAGTAGGGCAAGCCACACCCACCTGCTAGCAAGGGCTGACTTCCAGCAGATTTCCAGGAAACAGGAGGCAGGAGGCTGAAAGCTCAATCCTTTGCTCTCACCTAGGGCTCCAGCTGTGCTTCCATCTGGCAAAGACTGGGGCAGAATAAACACACACACACACACACACACACACACACACACACACACGTACGCACGCATGCACACACACGCAAGCACACACATGCCCAAATGGAATGGCATGCGGCCAGCCTACCTGGAACTTCAGCTGTCTTTTTCAAACATAGACTGTCCTGATAGTTATTTGGGGCTGGGGGTTACTTGTTGCTTCTCTGGAGCTGCGAGAGGACAACCTGGCTTTTCTGTCTCAGGATAGGGCTCCTGACGGCCCCCTGGAATGTGCGCCTCCCCGCAGTGTTTTGAACTGCTCCCTCCCCTCCTCATCTTCAGCACCTGGCCTCTGGAGACCTCAGGCTGAGTCTGACCAGGAAGCCGACAGTGGCGCAAAGGAACGCTGCCCTACCCCCACCCCGGCCTTCGGGAGGTCGTCAAGCTGCGGTCCTTGGGGGCGGGTGTCAAGTCCTCACTCCCAACGCAGGGCGTCCACTTTGAGCAAGAAGCCCCCACTAGCTCCCTCCAAGAAGGCTAAAAAGAAACTTTCACCAGGTCCCCTGCCCCCACCACCCCCTTCTTCTCCACCCCGCCCTCCCGGGAGCAGCCCGGTGGGAGGAGGGGGTAGGGGGAGGCGGGCTCCCTGCGCCCTCAGGGCCTCCCTTTTCTCCCAGGAGGCGGAGGAGGGTCGGGCTCCTCCCGAGCCCCCGCATCCTTCTCGGGTCTCCCGGTCCTCGCTTGTCCGCGGCCGCGCGCTGCCTCCTGTCCGTGGCGCTAGCCTTGGCCGCCAGCGTTTGGAATTCGGCCCAAAACGGGGGGCCTGAAGGAGCGGGAGAGGAGGGACGGAGGCCGGCGGCGAGAAACGGCGGCGGAGTCCGGAACATCATGGGGAAGGGAAGCGAGCGCGGCGGCGGCGAAGGCTGAGTCGCGGCGAAGGCTGAGCCGCGGCGCCGACTGCAGTGCATCGCCGCTGCCCTGACATCCCCCAGGATGGTTAACGCGGGGCATTATGCACTGGTTAACAGGATCCGAGCTGCTCAGCGACTTGTTTTAAGCATTTTCTCCCTCGCTCTCGCTTTTAATCTTGTCTCTAGTGGCGTGTGTAGGGGGGAGGACTTTATTTCCATTGGCTAAGCTCTCCCTTCCCACCCACATCTCTGCCACATCACCTTGGTGTCTCCCTAAATAAAACCAGCCCTCCTTATCGCCTGGAAAAAATCAGGAGCTAGAGTTTGAATGGGTTTTATATAAACACTCACCCCTGTCAGCGTGCTGCTGGGCTCTCAGGGTAAACTCGCAGCGCCTGGCCTGATGCTTGCCTCCGCGTTCTCTCCCGTGAACGCCAAGGTTTAAGCAGAGCCTGAGGACTGGGAACTCTTCCCTGAAATTCGATCAACCTGAAGCCAGTTGCAGAACTGCACCGGGTCCAGATGGACCTCAAGGAGAGCCCCAGCGAGGGCAGCTTGCAACCTTCTAGCATCCAGATCTTTGCCAACACCTCCACGCTCCATGGCATCCGCCACATCTTCGTGTATGGGCCGCTGACCATTCGGCGTGTGCTTTGGGCCGTAGCCTTCGTGGGCTCCCTGGGCCTGCTGCTGGTGGAGAGCTCTGAGAGGGTGTCCTACTACTTCTCCTACCAGCACGTCACCAAGGTGGATGAAGTGGTGGCCCAAAGCCTGGTCTTTCCAGCTGTGACCCTCTGCAACCTCAATGGCTTCCGCTTCTCCAGGCTCACCACCAATGACCTGTACCATGCTGGGGAGCTGCTGGCCCTCCTGGACGTCAACCTGCAGATCCCGGACCCACACCTGGCCGACCCCATGGTGCTGGAGGCCCTGCGGCAGAAGGCCAACTTCAAACACTACAAACCCAAGCAGTTCAGCATGCTGGAGTTCCTCCATCGCGTGGGCCATGACCTGAAGGATATGATGCTCTATTGCAAATTCAAAGGGCAGGAGTGTGGCCACCAAGACTTCACCACAGTGAGTACTTGGTTTTCAGATCACTCTTGCGTTTGGTTCTCTTGAGAAGTGGTGCATCAGCGGTCTCCTCCTTGGTTCGGGGTCTTCTGTGCTTTGGAGCAGGAGAGAGAGCAGTGCCTCTGTGGAAGTCCAAGAGGGTAGTTGGCCAGAATTGTTGGAGCAGGTTGTGGAAGGGGTTACCTACCAGGTTGAAACACTCTAGTCAGTTCAATCATGGAGGGCCAGCAGGGGGCTTGCTGCGGGGATTGCTTCCCCAGGTGTGCTGAGTTGGCCTCCGCCAGGCCAGAAGGAGGAGGCCTGGATTGTCCGTTATCTCGGGCACTTGTGTCTGAGCTGTGTGATTGGAACAGCCTGTCATTGACGAGGTGGCAGTCTCTCTGTGTCTGTCTCTCTCTGCTCGGAAGTGGCATCAGGCACTGCATCCTGTGGGCTGGGCTGGAGCTCAAGCTGTCAAAGAAGAGGGTGTGGGGACCCAGGCAGTCTGGAGTGCTCCAGTGGCTCTGGGGACTTGCTGGAGCAGGTGATGCTGTTGCAAAGGTGTGGAGGTCTCTGTGTTTCCTTTTCTTGTGTGGATTCTGAGCTCCATGTGGGGAGAGGAGAGGATGGGAACTTCGGGACTCCATCTGGTCTGCTGGCAGGTCGATGCAAAAAGCTGTCCAGAGTGCTTGGGCAGAGAAGAGGGTCTGGGTGGAGGCATGTGTGCAGGATGGTCAGTGAGGTGCCTGTGAGGGTGAAGTGGTCCCAGCTGGGTTGTCTAGGAGCTTATCTCAAAACTCAAAGGCTCGGTTTTCTCTATGTACAATCGCTTAACAACGTGGATGCAGAGGGAGTGGTATGGGGAGGGGGTGAGCAGCTGTGGGACTGGAAAGCCTGGAGCAGGAGTGTGGAGCCGAGTAAAGAGGGTAAGTGGAGGGGGATGCAACTCGCTTTCAGGATGGGGCTCACTGGAGGGGCCAGTGGGAAGGACAGGAGGAGAGTTGTTGCCGCCAGGGTTCTTTGCCCAATTAGTAGGGTGGCTAGACATAAGTTGGCATGTTAGGTCAGACAGCAGCTGTTAAGTCCTCTTTGCTGCAGGGCAAGTCCAGGACATCACGAGCCCTGGGACCCTCCAGAAGTCCAGTGCAGCTATTCCCCTCACAGTTGCCTTAGAGCTTTGGAGTCTCAGAGCCCTGAGCCAAAATGCAATTGCAAGTTTGGGGTGGCAGGTGCAGCAGTTGCAAAGGACCTGGACTTTGTCATCAGCACGTGTGTGGGTCCTTGGCCTAATTAAGACATAACTTACCTTTCCTGTGGTGCTTCCATTCCCCACCCCCTCTCAGATGCAACATTCTCTTGCTCTGAGGTGCTTTTTAATGCTACAACTAGTCTCTGCCTGCAGCCTCTGTGCCTGCTGTTGGCTGTCTCTGGTACTGGGAAAAGCTCAGAGTGTCAGGAGCTCTGCCTCTCACAGCCTGTGTGCTGGAGCTCTGTTTCTTGGGGGAGCCGTTTTGTATCCCTTTAAACACTGTGAGGAAGAACACAGCAAAACAGGCGATGGTGTATGCTGAAGAGGAGTGAGTCTGCGCTGGGGGAAGGGACCAGCAGTATTGGAAGCCTTTCTAAATGGAGCAAATAAGTATCCTAAAGCATGTCATGCACAAGTGAGGTGGCTTGGGGAGAGGGGGAAAACGCCTCATTCTCGTCACTATATTCCACCCCATGCTTTCTAGTGCCTGGCAACGCTCAGCTTCACCACTGCACCATGCAGCTTGAAAATGCACTCAGCTGTTCCTCTGTCTGCCTGAACACACATGGAACACACAGACAGCAGACAGAGAGGGTGGCACAGAGGAACTGTAATAGGCAGCAACCCTGGAATGAGTTATCAAGTACCCTTGTGACTTTACATCCAACTGGTGGCTTCCTCCGAATTCATGTCCAAGTTCTATTTAGAGATAAAGATCTTAACAACGTGGATGCAGAGGGAGTGGTATGGGGAGGGGGTGAGCAGCTGTGGGACTGGAAAGCCTGGAGCAGGAGTGTGGAGCCGAGTAAAGAGGGTAAGTGGAGGGGGATGCAACTCGCTTTCAGGATGGGGCTCACTGGAGGGGCCAGTGGGAAGGACAGGAGGAGAGTTGTTGCCGCCAGGGTTCTTTGCCCAATTAGTAGGGTGGCTAGACATAAGTTGGCATGTTAGGTCAGACAGCAGCTGTTAAGTCCTCTTTGCTGCAGGGCAAGTCCAGGACATCACGAGCCCTGGGACCCTCCAGAAGTCCAGTGCAGCTATTCCCCTCACAGTTGCCTTAGAGCTTTGGAGTCTCAGAGCCCTGAGCCAAAATGCAATTGCAAGTTTGGGGTGGCAGGTGCAGCAGTTGCAAAGGACCTGGACTTTGTCATCAGCACGTGTGTGGGTCCTTGGCCTAATTAAGACATAACTTACCTTTCCTGTGGTGCTTCCATTCCCCACCCCCTCTCAGATGCAACATTCTCTTGCTCTGAGGTGCTTTTTAATGCTACAACTAGTCTCTGCCTGCAGCCTCTGTGCCTGCTGTTGGCTGTCTCTGGTACTGGGAAAAGCTCAGAGTGTCAGGAGCTCTGCCTCTCACAGCCTGTGTGCTGGAGCTCTGTTTCTTGGAGCCGTTTTGTCTTATCCCTTTAAACACTGTGAGGAAGAACACAGCAAAACAGGCGATGGTGTATGCTGAAGAGGAGTGAGTCTGCGCTGGGGGAAGGGACCAGCAGTATTGGAAGCCTTTCTAAATGGAGCAAATAAGTATCCTAAAGCATGTCATGCACAAGTGAGGTGGCTTGGGGAGAGGGGGAAAACGCCTCATTCTCGTCACTATATTCCACCCCATGCTTTCTAGTGCCTGGCAACGCTCAGCTTCACCACTGCACCATGCAGCTTGAAAATGCACTCAGCTGTTCCTCTGTCTGCCTGAACACACATGGAACACACAGACAGCAGACAGAGAGGGTGGCACAGAGGAACTGTAATAGGCAGCAACCCTGGAATGAGTTATCAAGTACCCTTGTGACTTTACATCCAACTGGTGGCTTCCTCCGAATTCATGTCCAAGTTCTATTTAGAGATAAAGATTTTTGACCACAGGTTGCTATTTTACACTTGGCCCATCATTGGAGTTGCTGAGGTCCCAAGAGGCCAAAGGTTCAACCTCGAGGGCCTTCTCTGAGCTTTTGACGTCTTCAGGATGTCTTCCAAATAGTGAAGTTGCCTGAGAATAGCGTTTATTACTTGGTAAGTGGTATCTCATCTGTCATCTTTACCAAGTTGAAGACTAATCTGTCTGAGTGTCCATCCTGGACTGACCCTCTGTAATGACCTTCCCAACAGTGAAAAGGGAGTGAGCCTCAGGAGTGCTTTCTAAGCTGTTCAAGGAGTATCCAGAAGAATATCCACTCCTGAAAAGCTAGAGGAGTCCCCAGGGATGGCTGGGTGTCCAAGTGGTCAGAGTGGGCAGGTGTGCTGGGCCCCTACTTGATGGACCATAATGCCAAGTTTGTTTTAGACCTTGCAGTGAGTGGTCTCTCCAACTCACCCTTTGTCTCCTGTCCCTTTTGGCCCATTTATGGACCTGTTTATTCTTGAACTCCCATGCCAGGAGACAGCAGAGAGCCTGGACAGGTGGTTGTGGGAGAATCCAGTACACTGGCTTTCTCTGCCCTTCTTTCTGCTGTACACCCCTCTCCAGATGGCTTATTTATGAAGGACTGCCTGGGTTTTTACTGGGCTGGGTGGCTTCTTTCTCTAATGCTATGGTTTACATATTAGAGAAGTATTTCTATGGGGGGGAGAGGATGTCACAGGTGGATGACTTTCTTTCTTTTATTTCTTTTTCTATCAAGCATACTTAGTACCATCTCCAGAGCTAATGTTTTAGTATAAGCTTCCTTATTCCAAGTTCTTAGCTGGTGTGCAGCGAAGTGCGTAATACCCTTTAATTAGTGAACGAGCTATGATTCTAGCAGAGTGAGACAAGACTGTTTGTGGAGGCTAAAAGTCCCCGGGAGGCCAGGTGTAGAATACCAACTGCCACATGAACAGGTGTCATCCATGCATATGCTGGCATACACTTAACTCTGTGACAAAGACAGACAATCTTAGCCTGGGACAATCTAACTTCAGATATGCATACACTTTTCCTTATTGGGAAAGCAATAGGGGGCTTAGATTCCAGAGTGTCCACTCAACAGAGATTACCATATTGACCTGGAGTGGAAGGAAGGGAGTTGAAAGTTGGGGCACTGGACAGGATTGCATCTCTGGCCATCATGTTGGATAATCTGAGTTCATGATTAAGGGTAAGAAGACATTAGTTTGAAGCTCTGTTACATCATGTTTTCCTTTATTCCCTGGCTTGTCCCTTGCATCCTCTGTAGGCCTCTACTTGTTCATCTGCCATGTGATAGTGATAGTATGCCATGGGAGGAGGAAATGTGGAAAAGGCCTTTTGTACATGGTAACAGCTATACAGCAAGGCTGGTGAGTATCCATTATTAGGAGGGTTATTGCTGTCCAGCCTACCTGCCCTGTTTGTAGGAGTCATACCGGATGAGTAATGCTATAGAGGATGCAATCCTCTGTGTCACCTTCTCTTTGCTGTCTGTGTGCTCCATGTGTGTTCAGGCAAACAGAGGAACAACTGAGTGCAGGGACAAGTAGCTTCTGCTTTCTCTGGAACATGGAGTTGAAGCCCAACTTCCCAGAAATGGGATTTCTTAGAATGGAGGTCACAGTTGGGTTCAATAGCTAACTTGTGCTGACAGGTAGCAAGCCCACTCTTCGAGACTAACCCACAAGTGTTCCATATCGTTTCCTGTGTATCACATTGGGGTTCATCTGCCTTCAGGTTCAGGGATGCAAATGATACTTCAGTTTGCACTTTTGACCTGAATTCCATAGTTGTTTGTATTTGTACTTTAAATGCAAGATTTATCAGGAAAGATATTTCCTTTTTCTTTACTAAAAGAAAGTTCTCTCCACTATGAGATCTCATGAGAGACACTGGGTAGATCTTACTAACCATATCACATAACGTGATAGA